GGCTGAAATGACCGGGGCCTGTAAGCCCTAAGTTTTAGGCTTTTAGGCTGAATGTCCGGGACGGGCCCTGCAGGGCCCGTGTGGCTACGCAGTATGCCACAGCCATACTCCATTTGAGAGAGCAAAAGTGTAGGCTCAGTAGTCCGTCAGGTGAAGTTAAGACCGCTCGCCTGTTCCATGTGTCAGGAGTAGATTATCCCCTGGCACATTGCTGTCTCGGTACTCCCGCATTCGCGCGATTAGTGAGAAAGGAGCAATTAGAAGCACAAGTTTTTGTAGCCTATGTAAGGCATGTCACTGAGCCTAAGGTAGAGGAACCCACTAACCTAGTTCTTGCCAAGCTGTTGGAGGAGTATGCCGATTTATCTGAGCCGCCTACAGGAGTAGTGCAACGGTCGATCCAGCATCGCATTGAGATAGAGCTTGGCAGTGAAACTCCTAAGTGAGCCGTGTATAGAATGGCCCCAAGGGAGTTTGAGGAGCTGCGTAAGCAGTTAGACGAGCTCCTCGAAAAGGGGTGGATTAAGCCCGGTTCATGTCCATTTGGAGCACCTGTTTTTTTTGTCCCCAAGGAGGGAGAGCTCAGAATGTGCATTGACTATAGAGGTCTTAATGTCGCCACAGTAAGAATGCAGAACCACTGCCCCGTATAGATTATCTATTAGATTGGGTGCAGGACTGCAAGTACTTCTCTAAGATAGATTTGAAGTTTGGTTATCATCAAATAGAGGTACATCCTTATGATCAGTACAAGACGACATACAGGACCAGATATGGGCACTACGAGTTTATAGTGATGCCCTTTGGACTAACCAATGCGCCAGCTACGTTCCAGCATTGTATGAACGATCTGTTTAGGCCATGGTTAGATAGATTTGTAGTGGTGTACTTACTTAGACGATATTCTAGTGTTTAGTAAAACCCTCCAGGAGCATGAGGGCCATCTGAGGCAGGTCTTGGAGAGGCTGAGGGAAGCTAACTTCAAGATCAACGCGAAGAAGTGCGAGTGGGCCAAGACGCAAGTCCTGTACTTGGGCCACGTCTTAGATGGAGATGGCATAAAACCTGAGGACAGTGATCAGATTGGTCGACGTCCCGCACATTGACAAAGTTGAAGTCATTTCTAGGCTTAGCAAATTATTATAGGAAGTTCGTAAGGAACTTCTCTACCATCGCTGGAAGCAATCTGGGAGTGGGATAGAGATTGTGTGTCGGCCCTAAAGAAGCTAAAGCGGGCTTTGATAGAGTACCCAGTCCTCAAGGTAGTTGATCCGTCCTTGCCTTTTGTTGTCACCACTGACGCAAGTCCGTATGGTATAGGTGTTGTCTTACAGCAAGATGATGGCAATGGTTATAGACCCGTAGAGTTCATGTCTGCTAGGATGCCTTCAAAGAAGGTAGCGACATCTACCTATGAGAGGGAACTCTACGCTCTCAGAAAAGCGTTAGATCACTGGAAGCACTACTTGCTTGGGAGGCACTTCAAAGTCTATTCAGACCACGAGACGCTGAAGTGGTTAAAGACGCAAGCCAAGATGACCACTAAGCTTACTTGGTGGGCCGCAAAGATAGACCAGTTCGACTTTGAGCTCGAGCCAGTCAAAGGAAAGTATAATGTAGTCGCGGATGCTCCACGTAGGAGAGCTGATCACTTTGGAGCGATAGTTCACTATTTGGATATAGGGCGAGACCTGCAACAAAAAGTTAAGGAAGCCTATGCGCAGGACCCTATTTATAGATATCTCCTCAAGAGAGTTAAGGAGTCTCCAGAGTCTGAGCCAGACTACCGCACTACAAATGGGTTACTATTCGAGAAGACTAACGTAGATGACCGCTTGTTCGTTCCCAACAATGAAGAGATCCGTAGTTTGATCTTAGGGGAATGCCATGATACAGAGGGACACTTTGGTTGGCAAAAGACATTGGCTAACCTCGTTCGT